CTTTTCTGTGAAGGTTTACAGGTATAGTGTGATGTGGTATAGTGGTGTGTGTGTGTGTGTGTGTGTGACCTGTAGTGAACGTTCCATCTGTCACCCTGCAGAACCACAAGGTCCCCAAAGCCCCACCAGTTTGCCCTGCCACGACACTCGTGTCAGATGCACTGAACTTATTGAGGGGTCCTGGGCCCCAGACGGTTGTGTTTCATTATTTGCAAGTTGTGGCAAAGAATGTTGACATTTCAGCTCCTAGTGGTTTTTCTTTAAGAAACACAGAAACATAAATGATCAGTTCCCCATTTGGCCACCTGCCCAGGAACGTCAGAGACAGAGAAGAATAAAATGGCCCTTAGCCCTAAAGAGGCTGACTTGCTCAAACTGTAGTGTACAAGAAATTTAAAAAGTGTTTTACCTGTGTCAGACTTTTTTTTGGTGGGGGGGTATTTTAGGAACGTGTCTACAGGGTGTTCAGGATCTCACTACTAGATCGGACTCGTAGTGATCCGCCTGTTTACAGCCTCCCAAGAGCTAGGATAACAGGTGTGTGCTACCACGCACCACGCCCCGGCTCAATTGCCATCTCAGTGCACCCTGGGGGTGGGGCCAGCACGGCAGGCCTGGGGATCAAACCCATGTCCCCTGTGCCTGTTTGCAGGTGCTTTAATCTGCTGAGCTATTTAGCTGGCCCTTGTGCTAGACTTTCTGAAGCTGGTTAATTTTCCTGCTTTTGGGAATCTTCTCTTGAATAACAGAGGTTTTCAAGGTGCTTCTTCATGCAAGTGTGAGTGGCCTGTCTACCTGCCAAGACATTGTCATCCTGATTGTCATCATTGTCATCATTATCTCAATTCCATTTTCAGGGAGAAAAGCCCTTTAGTGTCTCTTTTCATCTCGTGAGCTATATAGTAGCCTCCTTGTTTCATAAATGAGAAGTCTCAGTTCAAAGAAGAAATCTGAGTTAAAGCGTTTGCCCTGCAATCTTCATTTAATGTGAAAGAGCCAGAATTCAAACCTCAAACTCTAAAGGCCCCGTGTTTAACAAAATACCCCTTAGCACTTAATTGCATTCCGTTTTGTATTTGCATTTCATTTAATGTCATTCTCCAACTTACTTTGATATTCTGCCATTAAGTCACTGCCTAATGGCCACACATCATTGCCCTCTAAAATAGTCACCTTTCAGAGTCATTGGCTACAATGCTGGTGGTTGCAATTAAGACAGAGAATGAGCTCTCTCCAAGGCAGTGCCTTGTGCAGACACCTCCTGCCTTCTTCAGCCTTCCTGCGCCTGTGCCCAATACCTGACATCAGCAGTTAGACGAGAGGAGACCCTTGATTTGGTTCATGGTTTCTAAAGATTCAGTCCCTGGCTCCCTGGCTCCAAGGTGGACACATCACGGTGGAAGTGTTTAGTGTGAAGGCTGTTCCCCTCTGGGCCACCAGAGGCAGAGCAGGTTGGAGGAATGGGGGACAAGAAAGGACCAGGAACCAAATACAGATCCAAGTTCATGCCTCTGTGAGCTATGCAGAAACACCCAAAAATGTGTTATGAACCCCCTGGGTGACTCCCAATCCAAATTGATAATTCTTCTAATTATCACACTAAGAGCTCTGGTCAGGGTCCTGATCAGCACAGAACCACCCTGCAGAGGTCAGACGAGGACACTATAATAAAGGAGGCACCGTCAAAGCTAGGAAGCATTAAGATGGCAAACAAAGGTGGTAAAGCACCAAGTTTAATATCCATGGTGTTCTGAGACAACACCTAGGAGAAGCTTTATTTATTGGAATGCTGTGAAAGCAGTATAGATGAGGGAGAGAAAAAAAAAAAAAAGCCATCTACCACAGAGATAGACCAGTGTTGATGAAGACGTAAAGAAAATGTCTCTGATGTCTTCCTCCCACCCTCTTCTCTCCTGTCTTGTAGAGTGGATCCCACTAGAAGCCAGGGGAAGGAAGATGAGGATGCAGGGAATGTAGTCTGCAGTGGCTCTGGGACATAAAACAGGGCAGAGAAAGACAACTGCATTCCTTTTTTAATCTAGGAAACATGAAATTTAGAGGGAAATTAAACCAAATAAATAGAGGGTTGAGAATGGGGATTGCATTGATTCCATGGAGCCTTCTGGACCAGCATCCTCAGGCTCCTGTCTTCACGTTCACACTTGTACCTTACCTGTTCCACGAGATCAGGGGCGTGACCTCAAGTGCATGCACCACGCTGTCTGTCAGTCCTCTCAAAGCCCTTTCCTGTGTGTCATCTTAACTGATGCACATGGCATCCCCTGAGCCGGGTAGGGCAGTCCATTAATCCTGACTGGCCTGCTGACCTTTTCTCTAGATATAAATTTCTCCACTGAGACACTGTCCACCTGCGAGTCCCTTCGGATTATCTCCATCAATTATTTCACACAGTGCACAGCCAGGCCCTTGCTTAAGAGTGTCGATATTAGTACAAGTAATGATGACTGTCATGTACTGAGTGCGGCCTGCACTAGGAGGGGAGAAGTACTTTCATGTTAGAGTCCTTCTGCATCAAAGAGTTAGAGATCTACTGGCTGGCTCTGCTTAGCTATTTGCGGAAATGTTCAGACATACTTGCAGTAAGGCATGCACCACTGCATGGCTGCTTCTCAAAGCCTATTTTGCAGCTGCAAGGAAGAGTAATTTAGAATCAGAAAGGTGACTTTCTGAGTTCCAGGTCCTTTAGGTTTGGTGAGGTCACTTAATCCCTGACCTTCTGTTTACCTGCTGGTAAGAGGATGTTAGGTGGTTCTTCCAGGACTATCATATGGTCTAAATGATAAAACATGTAAGTAAACTTCTAGAAGATAGTAGCTGCCCAAGTAAATGTCTGATTCCTCAGATTCTAGTTTCTAATGACAGTGTACTAGGTCAGGTATCTAACATTGTGCAGAGCCTGGAAGAGGATGATGCCCACCTTGTCCAGCTGCCCCCAGCACTGCCTTGGGGACCTCTGTTACTTCTGAACAATGCAGTGACTCATCTTAGGGAAGTGGATCCCTGGGGCACACTGTAGTGGCAGGGCTGCCTGGACTCCTCGCAGCTTAGAGTCAAACGTATCTGATCAGATTGGACCTTCCCTCTCCCAGAGTTGACATCACGCATGTGGTCTTTCTTTTGCTTTCCATGTGAAGCTCACCCCAGCAGCCCTAAGCACAGATGCTCCAAGAACATGCAGGAGAGTTTTTCCTATTATTTTCATGTATAACCCTGTTCTTCGGGGATTTCTTTGCTTGCCTCTTGGAAGAAGCAAGCAAAGATGGCCACAGCATCCAGTTGGTTTGCCAGAAGGATTGCTAGTTGATGCTGCAGAGTCTATGAGCCAGACAGTCTGTGAGCACTCCCTGGGAGGTGGACATGTTACAGCTACTCTTCTTGGCCAGAGGTGCAACTCTGTCCCCAGAGTGTCTGGGAAGTCTGCTCTGTGCGTATTCAGAAGGGACCCCAGTGTCCTCTGACGCAGCCCTTCAAGTACTTTCCTTCCTTGTGATAGGCTCTTTTAGTCCAGTTCTGCTACCATAACACAGTACCCAGTGCTAGGTAATGTAAGGAGAGCAGGGGTTTAAATCTTGGCAGTTCTGGATGCTGGGAAGTCCAAGATTAAGGCACTGGTACGGTCATTTATGGTGAAGGTCTAATCTCTGCTTCTCAGGTGTAGCCTTGTTGCTGACTTCCAGAGAGGATGTGCTCTGTCTTCACATGGCAGAAAAATAAGTAGCAAAAAGGGGAATAATTATACCTTTTCTCAAGTGTTTTTCTAAGGACTCCAGTCCCATCTGTGAGGGCTTCGTCTCTGTATCTTTTTCACCACCCAAAGCCCTGCTTCTAAATCCTGTCTTGTTGCCAACCAAGTCTCTACCCATTAACTTGGAAAAAGACTTTCAAACTATAGCCAGAGACTATGTACTGTGTCTGAAAACCTGAGGTTAGAGGTTGGGGTAAGGTGGAGAGAGATAGCATATGTTATTTTACTCAAATCTGCCAAGAACACTGTTGGTTACTTTTCTCTCATTGCTGAGACAAAATACCTGATGCCCAAAATTATGGAAGGAAAGTTTATTTAGCTCACAGTTTGTAGACATTTCAGTTCCTATTTAGCAGGGATGATGGCACGGTGGAGGAGCCAGCAGCTAGGACAGGGGAAGGCAGCAAAAACAGCAAGCGCAAAAGGGGGAGAAAAGTAAGCCTCTTTTCCTCCTTTATAGTGTAGGCTCCCCACCCTCGTGTGGGACCTTTACACCCCATCATCTCAGTGCCCTCCTCCTGCACAGGATGAGGGCATTTACAAAGCACCCCAGCACCCTGCTAAGTGGCTTAGTTAATCTTCTAAACTTCCCCAGTTGACACAATGTATCACCCACTTCCAACACAAATTACCATTTCCTAAATTTGACCTGATCTTTCATCTGAGTTACTACCCAGAAGATGAAGTTCATCTCTTTGCTCCCTGAATGCCTGAGGCAGTGACGGGCTCTGCTCTCAGTACTGGGCCCACGTATAAAATAAAATGAAGTTCCCATCTCAGCGAGATTTCATTTTGTCGGCAAAGGAGGTCAGCGGGCAAATAACACGCAATGGCCGAGGGTGATCGGTGTGCTGCCTCAGGGGGCCAGAGGGAGGCGCTGACCTAAAGCACGAGTCACCTCTGGGATTCCAAGGACATACCTTGATCACCCCAGGGCTTCTCCAGAGTATCCACAGTGAGTTTACAAGCAAGCTACACATCGAGGCAGCCGGACACCCCAGAGTAGAGAAAGAGGTCACCCGTACCACTGCGCATGGGCAGGGAGAGAGCACTGAGTCGAGTGGCACTGTGCCCTTGCAGAGAAAGGCACCGTGCGCAGAGAACCGGAAGGGCGGAGGGGAAGGTGGGCACATGATTAGTGACGTTGGCTGGCGATATCTGGCATGGCTTTGTGACAGGAGGGAATTTCCCAGTGAAAACACTCAGGTGAAACTCGTGTCCTTCTTTTCAACAGGGTGTTGTTGCTGGCGCTCGTTCCAAAGGAGAACACAAACAGAAAATCTTTTTAACCATCTCCTTTGGAGGAATCAAAATCTTTGATGAAAAGACAGGGGTAAGTGAAAGAATCGCGCGGCAGTGTGAAATTGAACCCATTGACAGATGTGCCCCTGCAGCCTCTCCTGTCTGGGCAGGAATATCAAACAAGCATAAAAACACCTAACGCAGCTGACACACTTGATCAGCTGCGATCGTCCATCAAAGCGAGTCTCTTTGGTGACTTGGCCACAGTGTAACTGCGCTGTTCTCCTGATAGTGTCATTGCAATAAAGGTGTCACATCAACCCGGTGATCTAATGGGAGATTGATGGGCTTTGAAGAGCACTGATATTATGACAGTTTAAGTGATATTTCTTGATGCGCTGGCAACTTTGATGGGGACTTGCTGGACTTGGGGCGAAGCATCCTGAGTCTATTGAATGTAACCTGTAGCATGTTGCAGTTGCTGTAATCAAAAAGAGTAAGTAGAGTTCTCGATCATAAAGAAAATCTGTCTCAGTACTAGCAGGAAATGTAAAGACAGATGTGTTCCTTCAATCTACCAATGAAGACATTTGTGTTTTCATCAGCCTCATTTCTGCAGCTGACTCCCGACTCCTCCCCAGAGCTCTCCTGACACTGTACATCTTACTCATTGGTGGTAGGGAAAGCAGCAAAAACCCTTCTATGATCTTGTACTGAGAAAGAGAGGCTCCAGTGGATGCATTTTCCTTTTTATTTAGTCCTCTTTTTGCAGCTTATAAAATGCCTCTACCTGTGTCACCTCCTTTGAACTGTCCAGAGGTAACTGATTGAGTACTTTATATACCACTCATCTTCGAGCCAAGTGACTTGGCCTTGCTTATTTTGCATTACTAGTTTCTTTTCCTCATTCTGACTGGTATCATAAGGGTGGTAGGATTATAATTTAAAAAGTAAAAAGGTTTTTTCCCCTAAAAAAAATACTGCTCTCTAAATACCTACTGTGTGAAACAACAGTATTCATGACAGGGTTATACATGATAACCAAAAGGTGGAAGCAACCCAAGTGTCCAGCGATGCGTGATTGGATAAACAAAGTGGAGCATAGCCATAAACCGGAAGGCTACGGAGACTTAATTCCGACACATGGCTGCAACCTGAAGGAAGCCTGAAGATGGGATGCTGGTGACTTAAGCCAGGCCCTAAAAGGCAGTCCCTACAATTCTGCTTAAAGGAGGAGCCTAGAGTGCTCAAAACTGTGGAGACACAGGGGGAATGATGGTACCCAGGGCTGGGGAGAGCACGAGTGGTGTGGTACTGCTCAGCACGCGTGGGCTTGGGGACGATGAAAATACCGTTAGGGCAGCATGGTGGTGACTGTTGCTGCGGAGAGCAGATCACAGAATGCCACTGCACTGCACCCAGGAAAGTAGTTAATGTGCTAAATTTCATGTCGCCTTTACTTCACAATAAGACATAACATAACAATACAGCTTGTTGGGTACATCCCATATGTAAGATGCATCCGTGTCATTTTGCACTGTTTCATCCTCTCATCAATCCTATGAAGTAAAAATAGCTGCACTACTCCTTGGCTTGCTGCGCCTGCAGCCAAACACTGTGGTGCACTAGCATTATCTGGGGAAGAGACTGATGTTGCCCGCTGCTGTAGGAGTTGGAAGACACAACCCCAGCATCAGTGCTGGGGAGGCCAGGTTAGTGGAGTCCTCCAACAGCGTATGCATGCATGGGAGGGAAAAGTCACATCTCAAAAGAGAGTCAGGAGCCAGGGCTTCCATCCCTTATGAGGACCTCCTGCCATGGGCCCAATGAGTTCACGGAAGCCCCCTAATGTTGCTCTCCTGAAGACCACACTCTGCACAGCAACACTCGGGAGATGCACCCAGCCCTTAACAAAACCACCTCACCTCGAGTATAAATTACATGCCAGGCAGTCAGAAACCCTCCTTTTTGGTACCAGGATATTTAATCAACATGCACACAGTCACCCATGTGGTGTCGGTATCATTTTTTCTATTTTGTAGTTGGAAGCCTCAAAGACAGAAATGTTTGCATAACTTGTTGAACATCATGGTGAGCAGAGACAGGATCAGAACCCAGTCTGCCCACAAGTCCTTCTGCGCATCCATAGTTATCTCTTTGGATAGGGGAGTGTTCTTGTGAGAAAGTCAGTCAGGTGCTGCCTGTGGTGGAGCTTCCACAGGAAGCACAAGGAGGGCAGGGTAGGCAGTCAGTGAGGACTGGCTGATGTGAACACTTTCTTCTGGCTCTGAGCCAGGGCAGTCCCAGGTACGGGCACCTGGCTGTAGGGTGACTAAAGACAGGAGCCAGTTGGAGGCTGCCTGGCCCTGGATTGAGTTAGTTTGCCTGTCACAGTCATGGATCCAGACAGACCCTAGCTAAGCACTAGCTAACCCTGGGAGAGATAGTGTCTCCCTAATCAGAAATGTTTTTGTAAGATGTCAGACCATAATCATATTCAGAAAATTTGAAAAATACTTAGAATACAGCCCAGAGTACAGGGGCAAAATGGAGATTTAATCTCAGTTTGGCCTGAACCAAAACTCAGTGTCCTCTAGCTCCAGCAGACGGACCTCTTTGCAGATGCAAGTAGAGGGAGGTTAGAACACACCATTTGTACAAAGTGGGCCTCACTAAGCTGCTCCTGCCCCTGTCAAAGTATGTTTTTCAAAACGAAGGAAATAGTTCCCTTTCCTGGAAAGATTACATATTAGAGAACTGTGCTTAGTTTTGCAAAAGATCTTGGCAGGTCAAGGGGTATCCTGGTCAAGAGAATGAAAAAAGCAGGCTCTTGGGACTTCAGACTGCACTGGGCCAAGTGTGCCTGACACAGAGAGGACATCGGGGACCTAAGACACACAGAAGGAGGTGCTGAGCTCTCGCTGTGCTCAACCTCAGAGAGCACTGCTAGTCCTCCACCTCCCAGTGGATGCTAAGGAAGGCAGGTCAAGGCTCATTGAGAGATCCTTTCGCAATGATTTAAGTGTCCCAACATGAGGATGTCATCTCCAGCCCCTTCCAGCTCTGGCCCTGTCTATCACCATGACAACTGGTGCAGTCAGAAGGCTAAAGTGGAAGCAGGACCACCGGGACCTGGTGTGTTATCTTGCTGTGGTTCAGGCTGTGTGTGCATCACCATCTCATAGGCTGTGCCCAGTTAATTAAAGTCCTAATCGCATCCTTTATCTTCATCTACCTGCTCTCTCAGAGGTGGCTGAGTCAACTGGGCCCCCAAAAGTACAACCCAATCTTGGAGCAGAACTTTGGATTATATGAACACAGAGAGTACACTGATAAAATCATGTTTTTCCTAGAACTGTTTGGCTTGGTGGAGGAAATGTTAGATCTCTAGAGGAGAGTCAGGAAACAGGCAGTTAAGCGTGTACTCTGGTTCTGTCTAATGAACATCATCAGGCTCCCGCAGCTCCAAGCTTCTGTGACCTTAGCTTGTTAATGTTTGCCTCCACACAAGTGCTGGGGAAAATGGTCAGATGGACTGAATTTGTTTAAGTAGAGATGGTGAAAGCCTCAAGAGTTGTCCAGTAGAAGGAGCTGGCTCCACTGGGGAGCCTTGAGGAATAGAAGCTGGGCTTGTGGATAGAAGGTTCTGTTGGGGCAGCTCTGGTTTATCAGTGATGTCTTCGGCAGAGCTGCTCAGCAGTGGAATGGGCTGCTTTCTGTGTGAGTGAGTTCACCATTGCTGGCGGAATTGAGCCAGGACCAGATGATGGAATCCTGCTTGAGGGAGTCAGGTCATGGGTGATGTGCCAAGCAAAGCGACATCCAAGTTGATTTCTGAGGTGAGAATTTTAAGATTCTGTTTCTAACGTAAAGTACTGCCTATTGATTTTTTTTTGAAAGCCCTTTGTAGAAGATTATGAGAAGGAGCAGTTTGCAGAACCTTTGTCCCTGCCCAGCAGGGAACTGACTGAATTGTTCAGGAAGGAAATCTAAGTGAAGTATTTTTCTCTCCATATCAAAGAAATGGAAAACCAGGTCTTTGTCACTTGGAATGACAAATCTTGGTTGTTTATCTTGTCTAAGGTATTTTTGCTCAAGCTTGACTGCACTTTTTTTAAAAGCTGAGAAAAGAAACATTTGCAGAACGTGACAATAGCTAGAATTTTAAAATCCAAAAGCTGTCAAAAGTGTTTTGATCCCAATTAAAGAGACCCTTTGCTGCAATTTACACCCTGTCTTGAATTTCAAAGAATTCCAGATCCCAATCCTTATACAAGAAAATTTTATTTTATCATTAGCATGTTGAGGGAATAAACTAATGCTGAAAGCCCCTTGATTTTTCAGACCCTTGGACACTGCCAGTCTATCGAGCAGATCAATGAGAACACAGACAGCATCACTTTTGTGGCAACTGCATGATGGGTAAGAACAGGAAGAGAAGAGATTTTTCATAGCAATGTGTTCTTAGATCTTCAGGACCGACCAGTAGACAGCAAGACTGGACCGATGTCATTTCAGATTAGGAAACCGAGGTTGTGAGTGTGTTCCTGACCTGATAATAACTCAGAACAGACCTTCCAACCCAAGGTCTCAACCTATGCAGTAAATCTCACTGGTCTGATCTGTCATCATTTATAATTTGGAAAATTCCTTAGAAATGTTCCCATTTAATGCCATAAGAAAGCATAAATCTTGCAGGACCTTAAAAGTCCAGCTATTGGTATTAGGAGGGAGTCACTGACAATAATATACCAATTTTATACATTATTTCCTTTTGTACATACTCCAGCCCATCCAGCATTATCTTTTGCTGCCGCTGTTCTCAGTTCCATTCTGATAAGCTTTGCTGAGTGAAGTCAGAAAGGTAGAGTTACAGCTGGGACTCTGTCCAAACTTCAGTTGTCCTGAGAGATGGAGTGTTGACGGGCTGAGCCTGTCACCCAGCCATTGCATGTTGCATACTTCCCATGCCCTGTGCAGCTCTGTTGTGGACTTGTAAGAATGGGCAAGACATCATCCCTGCCCATGAGGCATCCAGAGTCTGATGGCAAAATCAGTCTCACAAAGAAGGAGGGACAGCTGTGTCGGCAT